GTTAGATGTTGTTGTTGTTGTTATTTGCCATCGAGTCATCCCGACTCATAGCGACCCCTCCTTGGGTTTCCGAGGCAGTATCACTACGGAAGTAGGAATGCCCAACCTTCCTTCCGAGGAGTGGCTGGTGGGTTTGAACTGCCAGCCTTCTGGTTAGCAGTCAAGTGCCTTAGGCACTATAGTGTCCCTAAAATTTAATGTACTCTTTGAAATCTTAGTGTGAAACAAGAGTCATTGCATATATGTAATTAGTTAACATGAGGTGATATGGGAGTAGGGTGGGCCCTGAAACCCATATGACTGTTATCTTTATTTCAAGAGACACAGAGATACAAACACACAGGAAGAAGGCCATGTGAAGACAGAGGCAAAGATAGAGTCATGCTGCCACCAGGCAGCCAGCATCTGGAGCCATTAGGAGCTGGGAGGAGCAGAGATGGAACATCCCCTAGAGTCTTTGGAGGAAATGTGGGCCTATCAACACCTTGATTTCAGATTTTTAACTCCCAGAATTGTGACAGAATAGATATCTGTTGCTTTATACTACCAAGTTTGTGGTACTGTGTTATAGATGCTTAAAAAACTGATAAAATACACATTATTTATTTGGAGACAAAGTCCAAAGTCCAAGTGTAATAGTATAATAATTATCAACTAGATAGCATAGTGCCTAAGGCACTTGACTGCTAACCAGAAGGCTGGTGGTTCAAACCCACCAGCCACTCCTCGGAAGGAATATGGGGCAATCTACTTCTGTAGTGATACTGCCTCGGAAACCCAAGGAGGGGTCACTATGAGTCTGATCCAATTTGACAGCACATAACAACAATAACAGCAACAGTATTTTTATAATCACGTCTAAGGTTATTTTATATACTTTGAAACACTCTGAGAAGTATGAGAAAAACTATCTCATCACCTACTCTTGGAGTGGGTTCATATAAAATAAAATATTAAATGAGAGTGACTATTCAAGGATTTGGATGAGAGTAAAATCATTATCTGCTGGATCATTGGGGAATGTGACATATTCTTATATGAAGTAGGACTTGAGGTAACTTTTGAAATATAAGTATATTTAAGAGAGTACTTTAGTCTAGACATAGAAGCAGAGAAAGTTGTCAAGTAAGAAATGACTAAGACATATTTGAGGACTAAGCAGTGAACTAGCTAATAGAAATAGTATGCATTAGTAAAAGTGTGTATTGAAAATGTATATTTGAGTTGGATCATACAAAACTCTGAAAAGGAATTTGGGTGCATTCCACAGGAAATGTTCAATGAATAAATGAATATATTTCCTCAAATACATTTAACAATGTTAATAATGATAATTTGCAGCCAAAAGAGAGACTAATGATAGGTCACAGAATTGACTGAAGTACTGAATTATTGGTAGTGTCAATAAAAAATCAAATTTCACTGTTCTTGTCCATGTTTTCCAAAACTTTCAATGGGAAAGAACATTTATTTTGTCTCAGAGAAACCATGAGATAAAGGACATATTACTTTAATTCCACAAAACTTCTATGATTAGAGAAAATTTTCTTCAATTAGTAAGGATTGAAGGTAAACAGGAATTCCAGCAAAGGATGATTCATTGTCCGTAGAAATCAGTATTAAAAAAATCAAACTGAATGCTGTCAAGTTGGATCCTACTCATAGCAAACCCTCCTTAATTTCTGAGGCAATATCACTATAGAAATAGATTGCCCAATCTTCCTTCCAAGGAGTGGCTGGTGGTTTTGAACCACTGGCCTTCTGGTTAGCAGTCCAATACCTTAGGCACTCACTACCAGAGGGCTATAAAAAACTTTTTTTGAAAATAATATCTTAATAATCAAGATGATCTTTTGTTATTTTGTTGTTAGGTGCCATCCAGTCAGCTCTGACTCATAGTGACCTTAAGTAAAACAGAATGAAACACTGCCTGGTCCTAGGCTAGCCTCAAAATCCTTGCTATGCCTGAGTCCATTATTGAAGCCTCTGTGTCAATCAATGCATCTTGTTGAAGGCCTTCCCCTTTTTCGCTGACCCTGCACTTTACCAAGCACCATATGCTTCTCCAGGGAATGGTCCCTTTGTTGTTTTAGCTCTCTCTGAAAATGCATTTTTGCCCAACTGATATCACTTTCAAAAGGAATTTTACACATAGTAGTTGAGGACATTGTGAAAGCAGGTTGCTTTCAGAACCCAAAAGGAATAAATTCAAGTGTATATGGCAACATCTTAAGCAGCCTGAGGTCATCTTTCTATTAAAGCTTTCCATGTACATGAAATACTTTGTGATTACATTGAAGACTACACATGTATATTGCCTGGTCAAAACATGAGCACATTTTAATAGTTCATATTACACAATCTTTCAAAATACAGTTAGTTTTGAGAAGCTTTATATATATGAGTAATTTTCTCTCATGTCTTGTATTTTTTTTGGTACACAGTGAAATTATGTTAACAATCTGATGATAACTACTAAAACTGTGTTTAATTTTGCTCACTTTGAAACTAAAATATTAATAATAGTGGATTTAATGGGAGAGGAACTGACACAATGCGATAAAGCATAAATGATTCTACAGAGAAGTTGCATAATGATTGCTTAACCGTCAACAGATCCATGTAGTACAAAGAATACGGGCTTTCAAAATCATTTCAAAAACTCATGTTATTTTCACTGCATTATAATGCTGTGACTTAAAAATATCTTATTGTGTAACAGCAGGGTCTGGAATCTCTATGTCATGTGTAAGGAATTGGACTTGAATGAAAATATGCTAATATATTTATTGTCAATAGAATGAGGTGGTGCTACAGACGAGGCAACATCAGAATTTGTTGTCAAATACTACAAGCCGTACCAGTCTCATTATAGAAATGACCCAGTGAGAACCCAGTCAAGCACATAACCAGAAACATTCAACCACAATACCTATGCTTTCCTCCATTTGTTCTACGGAGGAACGAAACACCTGTACTCTCTATCTCAGAATATTATTGACAATCGTCAGTGGCTAATTCTTTTGCAAAGAAACCCTTGTGGCACAGTGATTACATGCTCAGCTGGTAACTGAAGTGTTGGTAGTGTGAACCCTGTAGCTGCTCCACAGGAGAAAGAAGCATCAGTCTGCTTCCATAAAGATTCCAGTGTTGAGAACCCTGAAGGGCAGTGCCCATGTCCTATAAGGTCACTATGAGTGCCCATGTCTTATAAGGCCACTATGAGTCAGAATTGACTGCATGGAGCACAACAGCAACAATAGCTCTAAACAATAGGGAAAGAGTTTGAGGAAGTGTAGCTCTCTCCTCATTTATTAGAATGTAATTAAACGCTATATGATCAAGAGAGGAATATGAAGATGAAGGCCATGAACTTTTCTACATGGATGTATTTAAAGATTCTTTCTCCCTAATTTATATGTATAAGACAAGTGAAAAGAATAAGTAAAATACAAATAAAGTAGAAAAGACTGAGAGTATAAATTTTCAGTAGAAAAACTGTATTTTCTATCGGTCTATAAAGAACTCAAGAGGTTAATAGTTCTCAATTCTAATCAAGTTTCTGATATTATTTGATAAGTGATTTTGAGAGAGAGTCATAAACACTACAAAAGGTGGCAGAAAAATCATGTTTTCTTCAAAGTGATAGTTAAGCCAAAATATATATATATATAAATGTACACATACACATAAATATGTAATACATACATTATTGTGTCTATGTACAAATATGAATATACATACGCACAGAAACATGCTAATAAACATCGCACACACAAAAGGTTTGTGATTCTCTTTTTGCTTGTGACATTGTTTCAACCCTTATTAAATTTTGTTATTTTGTATGAAGTTATGCTTTTTAAAAACTCATTAATGACTTCTAAATATTGCATTAGTAGTGATGGATAGTTACTTGTTTTTCTAGTTAGAATAAAGGAAATAGCTAAAAGTGAATTAAAAAATTTGTTATAAGAACATTTCACATCATATAATGTGTTAGACTGGAATTTGGAAACCCTCTCCTTTTAAGATAGCAATCACCCACCCAAAGAACTTTTGGAGCATATGATTTCTTGTTAAAATTAACATAAAAAAAGCATTTTCATGAATAGAAAGCTATAAAAAATACCATTTATGAATGGAAAGCTATAAAAATATATATATATGAAGATAGACAGATTTAATCTTTTTACAATATTCCAAAAATGACATATTTGGGGCAGAGTTATTCAGTTTTTCATTCAGTGGCTTATTGAAAATTGATTTCACTATTCAACACATACTTTGAAGATTTCTAAAACTTGAATTTATTACACTGATTCTAATCATGGCTTATGTTTTAAGGTAGAAAAAAAAAGCTGATATTGTGAAGTAATATGCAGGTCTCATTTTTGAATGATAAAAAGCCTAATAATAGAAGTTCAGAAAGGATGATATCATCCTAACAATCTTTAGCTCCTTTATATTTATAAATTATGTTCTAATATTTTTATTTTTGTGTTTACTTAAAGTATTTATACACAGAATGGATTTAGTTACATATAAACCAGAATAGGCATAAGTGAAAGGTGATGTTAGAATGTTGAGGCTAGACGAGGAAAGAAAAAGTTATCCACAAAATATCTCACCTAATATGAGTCGAGGTCGACTCGACGGCACGTAACAACAACAACAACAACAACAATTTAGTGCAAGTTTCTTGACTTTTCTTTCTTTAACAGAAATAACAAAATGAATTTGTTATATGTAACTACTGTGCTACCAGTTAGCCATAACTAACTGTGCTAACTGATCTGGGCAAGGCCTGAACAGAGGCAAAGAGACTAAGGTCAGCTACTCTGGGATGTTTTAGCTCTGCCTCCTCAGCCCAAAGCATCTGACATGTGTAGGAGGAATGGTTAACATTTAGGTCAAGAGTTTTAGAAATTATGTATTTTATTTCAGACCTATATTTCAAAGTTAATTAATAAAATTGTGATGTTATTTATAAATGTTCTTACCTTCACATCTTTGACATTCATCCTTGTTCCCTCTTTTCCCACAAAGATATCATCAATGTCCACAAGGATGTACCTGTCCAAGGACAATGTCAGTCTCTTCCCAGACAAGAAGGAAATGGCATCTATGAAGATGAGCTTGTGCAGCCAAAAGTTTAAGTTGTTACCAAAAAGAACTCGCTGGATTCCATCATGAAGCCCCAGATCTTGAATTACTGTCGCATAGAGTATTTTGCTGGACAAAGATGGAAGTGATTTGTCTGTCTGTAATTCAGTTAAAAGCACAGGCTGGTAGGTTGAATGATTATACTGGAAAACAGTCCAGTCTTCCCCAGGAAGAGGGCCTTTTTCAATCTTGGGGGCTTTGGTAATATGCAGCAAAGGAGACTGAGGGTTGACAAAACAATCCTTTAGAGCTAGATTATTGAAAAGGTTTAATGGAAAACCTTTTAACTGTGTACTTGGTATGCTGTTCTCATTGGCTTTATGAAAACCAATTATACTAACACTGTATTCCACACAGTATTTTTCCAAAAGCTCTCGGTTCCATGAGTCCATGCTGAGATACTTCAGAATATTTTCATAAATAACTAAAGTATATTTTCCTTTGCCATTATCTGTAAGAGGAGGCATGTCACCCTTGCCTGAGGCAATGACCATGTGGTATTGAAATCGGCTGGACTCCAAAATAGCTATGATATCTTGACCAAGTTGAGAGTATTGGCTCTCCACAAACAGCAGAACTGTAGGGTCAGTTTTGGATGTATCAATAGGTTTAATGGTTTTTAGCTCCATTGACCGATATGGTAGAATTTTGATGTCACCACATTCTGCTTCTGCAGTGGTTTCAATAAGTGTCATTTCCTGTTTATAGCCAGAGTAGAGGAAATAGGCAGAAATAACTATGCTCACCAAGCAAAAGGTAGCTAAGAGAACAATCAGTGTTCGAAAACTCCTCCGAAGCTTCACAATAAGATTCATGTTTTTACAATAATGTTTTGGAAACTCTTTCCAAATTTGTTTCCTAAAGTTCCATGGTGAGGAAAGTATGAAATGGTACAAATACCATTTCCCAAAAGTTCATGTAACCATTGCAAATCATGTAAGATGTTTGAAGGAATCAGAAGCAAGTTAAATCTGGAAGGCAACGGAGCAGGAGAGCAAAATTTGAAGAGATTTTGTAAATGTCCAGTACCAAAGATTGCTGTCGAGTCCTTTTGACATTATCTGAAAAAGGGGAATAAAGTAATAATTAAGACAAAAAAATAGAAACAAATATATCCCTATGCTGATATTTCAGAAACATGCATATCAGAGATAATGTTAATGTGTTTTTATGCTAACATATTAATAGCCTGATGTTTATACTATAGGCCATCCACAGGTTAGGAAGTTACAACTTATGGATAACTTTAATGTTTATGTAAAATTGCCCTTTAATGTTGTATAAAATTGCCCTCAATTTTGAAATGATTGAATCAACCCCTATTCACATCAAACTCTTCATCACAATCAGATTTACTTTCTTCATGTTCAGCTCCTAAAATATTGAAAAGACTTTGAGCTTTTTCTTGCATTAACCAAGCCCACTACCATTGAGTCTATTTCAATTCATAGTGAATCTATAGGACAGAGTAGAACTGTCCCATAGGATTTCCAAGGCTATGTGTCTTTACAGAAATAGACCATCTCATCTTTATGCTGTGGAACTGCTGGTAAATTTGATTTGCTAAAGCAGCCGAATGCTTTAGCCACTGCACCACAAAAGGACTTTTCCTTGGACTAAAGCAGGGCTAAATAAGAACTGTGTGCATCTTATCTGATTTAAAAACAAATTCTTAAAGACACAGTTAAGACCTTAACACATTCATAACTTGAGGACTCCCTGTTTAGGTTTATTCCTTAAAACAAAGAAGATTTTTTTTTTTTCATGTCCTATAGAGCTCTGGTAGCATAACACCTAAGGCACTTTACTGCTAACCAGAAGGCTGGCAGTTCAAACCCACCAGCCTCCTCGGAAGGAAGGTTGGGCAATCTACTTCCTTAGAGATACCGCCTTGGAAACCCAAGGAGGGGTTGCTATGAGTCGGATTTGACTCAACAGAACATAATAACAACAACATAGAATTCAAGAAGGGACTTTGATGGTGTAATGGTTAAGGCATTTGGCTGCTAATCAAAAAGTCGGTGTTTCAAACCCACCAGCCACACCACTGAAGAAAGATGAAGCAGTCTGCTTCCATAAAGATTTATAGCCTTGGAAACCTAATGGTGATCACTATGAATTAGAATCAACTTCATGACAGTGAATGATTGAGTGATAGAATATAAAACCTGAATTAATTTCGCTAAAACATCCATATATATAGAAACATTAGAGATTGAGGTAATTTTTCACAGCAGTCCATCTCAAAACTAAAAGGTAAGAAATAAAGTTTCTGTATAAAATGTTAATTATTATAAAATACTTCTATAGAACTAGTAAACACATGTATACAGAGTTAGAAAACCAAGTATTTGTGTGGTCATTGGATCTATGAACTATGGAGGTATGCTTAGATAACTTGAGTGCCAAGCTGAGGGAATGGTTTTCTCATTAGTCTATAATATTTATAAGTTTTTCTCTGTAAAAATATAACCTTTGCTGGAATCAGAGGGAGCCACTCTTTAGCTTAAGAGCCCAAATTGCCAGGATTTTCACTTCTACACTCTGAGAGGCAAAGTTAGAGAAAGGTGATAGGAGAAGGAACAAAATGGGAACAAGCATCCTTATAGCCCTTAAATGAACTAGAGGCCAGAAAGACTAGATGAAAAGAGAAACACTGGCATATTTTTTCTCAGAACACATTCTTGAATTTGTCCTATTCATGGAACAGAATTCAATTTGAATTTTTCTTGTTAATTTTTACCCAACAATTAAATTTTACATTTATCTAGTACTTTTATTAGTTCAAAAACAAACAGTATCATTGACAGTAAAACTTCCAAAAACTGCATAATCACAAATAGGTATTATTTTCATTGTTATTATTAGATGTCTTTTTTTTTTTTTTTGCCTTGCAGTGAGTTTAGAAGGAGCTCTGGTAGCATAGTAGCTAAGGCACTTGACTGCTAACAAGAAGGCTGAAGGTTCAAACCCACCAGCCACTCCTGGAAAAGAAGATGGGGCAATCAACTTCTGTAGTGGCACTGCCTCAGAAACCCAAGGAGGGGTCGCTATGAGTCAGGTCTGACTTGACGACACATAACAACAACAACAGTGACTTTAGATGTCTTTCTTTATGTACATGACTGTTCAAATTTTATTGAATTCTTTTATACCCTCGTTTTCCTTATTCTCCTCAAAACTACATCCAGTTACGTACAGAATTTTCTTTATCCCAGTTTTTCAAACTAGTGTCCCTAGGAAAGCATCCAAATAGCTTTTGCTGTCAATTAGTGAGATATAAAGATTCATTGCTGATATGTCATGACATAGAGAATAAAGTTACTATGTATTCTAATATAGTGACTGTGGAGTCCATCCTACCATAGATACTTTATGAGTTTCTTCTTCTTTTATCTCAAAATCTGAGTAATTAATGATCATTAGAAAATCATTAAACTATTAACTGTTTCAATATATCACCCTTTCTGTATTATATTTCTACGTTTCAAAAAAACATTTTATCCTGGTAGTAATTTAAATTAAAAAAAGTTGGTCTTTATCTTAGTTTTTGGACAAATATTTTTAAAATAATCTAAAAAAAGTACACATATTGGAATTTTGAAATTTCTACCAAATATTTTAAATTTCATTTCTCAGATTCCAAACACATAAATGGATCTGGCATTTACCCTGGGAAACACATTGCATCACTCTGAAAAATCTCTCCAGTGATTTCATGTTTATTTCAAAGGAAAATTAACTCCACTTATATGGGACTCAATAATATTCTGTTATTGTTGTCAATATTGTTAGTTGCCACTAAGCAGATTCTCACTCTTATTGACCTCAAGTGTTCACAGTAGAACTATGCTCCATAAGGCTTTTAAGGCTATGACCATTCCAAAACAGATCACCAGGCCTGCTTTCTTAGACATCTCTTGGATAGGTGAGAATCATCAACCTTATGGCAAGTTGTCGAACTCTTAACCATTTGTGACACCCATGGAGTCTCACAACAAAAATATTCTGTTATCAAATGTATTACTTTAAAAGAATGATTTTCCTCCCAATACCTTTTGAGTATTTCAAAAGTCTGTTTCCTTTTAACAAATTCAAATACAGTTTGCTAAAAAGAAACATAATGTAGCCAAAAAAAGAAAATAGGAAGCTTTGGTTTGGTACAGAATATATAAACTATAAACCATAAATACTGACATTCGGAATTTACTAAAGAAAAATTTTCCAATCCTTTAGTATATCTGTTTCTAGAGTTGTCCAAGGTCATGTATTTCATTTAAAAATTCATTTAAGATAACATAGATGATCTCCTTTCCTTATCATACATCTCATACAGGAGCATAAATTTGTTTACTCCACTTACTTTGAAGGTTTGGATACCATTTAAACAACAAATTTAATCAAGAAATTTGAAAAGAAACAAAGGTTGGGCAAGTTAATACTTCTTAAAATTTTTATCTATTCTAACATAAAAATGTGATTTTTATTTTTGAATATAAAAAGAACGAGATGTGAGTTTTGCATATTAGAACAGCTCATCCTAATATGCAATAATGAAAACAAAACAAAACAAAAACATATGGGACTAAAATATGCTAATCCAAAGAATGAATAAAATTTAAATGTGACATTTATTTAGCATTAATATGTTCAGAGTTGCATGAATTATAGATACATATTCCCACCATTATAAGGATATATGTATGTTGGAGTGTGTGTGTGTGTGTGTGTGTGTGT